TCCCCGGCCGTTGAGATGAGCCAGGGCAGAGCAAGGAAGAGCCTTTCTGAGCTGAGGTGAATAATGCCCGGCCAAAGCCAGGCCTTGCTGGCCATGGGCTGAGCCTGCTTGCACCGGGGCAGGGCAGACACCACTCTGCCCTCCTCTTCCTCCTCCTCCTCCTCTGAACAACCCAGGGCCCGAAGACCTTTCTCCTCCGGTCAGGGTGCAGCCTGGAAGGCGGTGCGGAGGGAGGATGAAAGTGGAGGGAGGATGAAAGCTCCTGCACCGATGGGAATATTGAATCCGGCGAAGTGGAGGGCGCAGGCTGGGTGGTGCTCCAGCCCCGCGAGGGGCAGGCAGGGACGCGGGCGTATTTAGCCTGTTTCCCTATGGAAACGATGCTCATTCCCACCCGCTCGGCATGTTCGTGCGTGGGAGAGTCCCTCCCCCCAGCTGCACTTGAACCCATTGCCCAATCTCGCCACGTTTCCCGGAGGCGCAGGCATCGCCCGTATTTGCTCCCTCCACGAGAGAGGAGGGCTCGCGGAAAGGCACTCCCCACGCCCCTGGAAAGGCTCCCACCGCCAGCCCAACCCTTACGAGGCCACCCCGAGAAAGGCCCCAGCAGGAACCGACCCCGGGAAAGCTCCCAGCCATCCCTCTGCTTGTACCCGGGGGTCACACCTGGGAGAGAAAATCCGCCACCATGCCCTTGGCGAAGGTTCCTGCCCTAAATCCCGACCCCGGGACACCGCGGGAGCACAACCCGGGGGTGCGCGGGGTGAGGGGGCAGGACGGAGGTGGGCGGAGGTGTCCGCGAGAGCCCGGCGGGAGATGCTGCGTGCGCCGGGGGACAGAGAAAGGCCGGGGAAGGGGTCTGAGCTGGGGGCTGTCAACCTGCAAAGAGCAAGGGCGGAGGGAGGGTTCCCCAAAACGCCGGCAGAGCGCAGCGCGCTATCAGGGGGCTGTCACCGGGGTCGGCAAGCCGCTACCCGGGATGGGGACGATGCGGCGACCCCAGAGTGGGACGGCCAGTCCCCGGGGGTGGCCCCGGTACCGCGGGACTCACCAGCTCGAGGCGGAGCGTCCGCAGGCGTT